AACAAAGAGATGGAGATGGGGGGAAGAGGGAGAGAGAGAGAGGGAGAGGAGGATGAAGTGTAACAAAGAGATGAAAGGGGGAGAGAGAGAGAGGGAGAAGGGTGGAGGATGACAAATAGAGAGGAAGAAGAATAGAGGGTGACAGAAAAGAGAGGGAGCGAAGGATAGAGAGACAGAGAAGAGGATATAGGGCAGGTGACAGCAACCCCTGGCAAGCTACGACACATAGGAAATGAGCCTGTATGGAACTTTAACCGCTTGAAGACCAGGTGTTTAGATCCCCTACCTGGCAAGGCCATTTTTCAGTGTTCAGCGCTGCGGTACTTTGACTGACATTTATTCCGTCACGCAACGCTGTACTTACACGCCCAGTTACATCCAAGAAGCTCCCGGCAGGCCGTGTATACACAGCGGCTGGCCGGGAGGTAGTTAAAGGTACCTTGTGTATATAACATCAGAAAGTGTATGTTTTGAAAACAAACATCTTGCACTTTGCACTTGCACATGCTGCCATTGGCATGCTCTTTTTTTTTCCTCCTCCCCTGCCGGATCCAGCCTCCTCCACCGCCGCTGCTGGCTCTCATTGACTCAGCAGCGGCTGTGGAGACAAACGCAGCGCTGCACAGATCACCGACAGGCGGCCCGCACGGCATCAGGGGGGTGTCCTGGCCGGGCCCCATTGTGCCCGTGCCCCATAGCGGCCGCCTAGGTCGCTATGGCGATTGTTACGCCACTGATTGGGACTAATCTGAGGTCTGAAGTGCAAGCATTGGGGCTGATCTGGGGTATGAAGTGCAAGCATTGGGGATGAACATGTTTTCTGTGCACCAGTCAATCATTTTTTTGCACTCATAGTTGTACTGATAATGGCGAGTGAATTATTTTTATTTTGTAACAATAAATGTGTTTTTTTTCTCATCAGCGGTACAACTCTGAGTGCAAACATTAAAAGCGAACTAAGAATACAAGACGCTATTTGTCACTGGCACGCCGCTTGTCTAATGCCTGTGAACATGACATTTAATGTGGAAAAGGTTGCTGACCTCGGCATTAGGGAGACAGAGAGATGACAGAATGAGCGAGAAGCATAGAGGATGACAGAGGGAAAGCACAGCTGAGTCATCTGGGTACAGAGAGAGAGAGAGAGAGAGATCATGGCACTGGGATGGTCTTGTAAACAATAAAATAATTGGACGAATTTACTGAATGGCCATGGGAGATATAACGACAGACACACTGCAAAGTCACAGCCAGTCAATGGGAGCGAGAGGAGCGTCTGATGGCGGATTACAGACAGTAGGAGAGTGCTGCATCACAGGTAGAAAACATGATACCATATGAGGCTGGGTATAAAATATAAAAGCTTAATGTCCAAACCAAACCTCCCGCAACAGACTTACAGTGGCTGACCCCCTGGCTTTAATACTTTCTGATGCAGTGCAGCATCATGCAGATGTTGGAGATTAGGCAGAGATCCTGATCTGCATACTTGTTTCAGGTCACTTGAAATGTTGAAGCAAGAGCATCAGTATGATGGCCAGGCAACTAGAGGTCAGCAGTGGCAGCCACTATGTGTTTCTCTCATGACAGGTTCCCTTTATTTGCCAGCCTGCTCTGGGCTGCAGAAGTCTGGCTGAAAAGAACACTGTCCAGGAAGGTGACATGCAAAGGTAGAAACAGCATAAAGAAAAGCTTTGCTGGCAATATGAGACAGGGTTATGGGTCCCGTGTCAACGCACAAAGGGGCTACACACCAGGAATAGCCATAAGTTTGTGGACACCAAACTGTTACATCTCTGTGAGCTTGTTGGACATCCCCATTCCAAAACCATAGCCATTGATATGGAGTTGGCCCTCTTTTGTGGATATACCAACCTCCACTCTTCTGGGAAGTCTTTCCGCAAGATTTTGGAGGAATTTGTCCCATTTGTGAGGTCAGGTACTGATGTTGTATGAGAAGACCTGGCACACAATTGGCATTCCATGTACTGTATATGGTAAAATGTTTGTGGACACCTAAACATCACACATCCATGAGCTTGTTGGACAACCCATTACAAAGCCATGGCCATTAAAATAGAGTTGGCTCGATTTTCTGTCTCTAACAACCTCCACTCTTATGGGAAGGCTCTCCAAGATTTTGGAATGTATCTAAATGAGTAGTCCTGGCTTGTAATTGGTGTTCAAGTTCATCCCCAAAGGTGTTTAGTAGGGTTTAGTAGGGTTGAGGTCAGGGCTGTGTGCAGTACAATGAAAACGAATATAAAGCGCCAAACGTTGACCAACAAATGAAAGATAATTGCAGGTGAGGATTACTAGGGGTGCTGCCCCACTTCAGCCTGGGAAGCTGCAACACTATGGGAGAAAACAAAAGAGAAGGGCGCCCACCCTAGTGTAGATAGTTTTTAATGATATATGTTGAAGTAACAATAAAAACATACTCACAAAAGTGAATCAAGATAAAGGTATAATGGGTAAGCCTTGATGACATCCTGGCTTACCCATTATACTTTTATCTTGATTCACTTTTGTGAGTATGTTTTTATTGTTACTTCAACATATATCATTAAAAACTATCTACACTAGGGTGGGCGCCCTTCTGTGTTCAGTACACTCCATACCAAACTAATCAAACCATATCCTTTTGGATCTGGCTTCCCCCCTCACATCAGGAGCCCGCTTTGCATCACAGTCCTCCCTTCACTTCAGAGTCCCCAGCCCTTTCACATTAGAGTCCTACCCTACACTCCTCACCACAGCACAGCAGCATTATAGCTGTGGGTGGGAGGATGAGCAAGTGCTGATGGAAGCAGACGTCTATCCCCTTTTGAATGCTGGTGGTGGTCCTGGATGCCATCGGCCCTGGATTAGCACCATGCATGTCCATGATGCTGGTGGCCTGCCCATCTACAACATGGAAATACATGACCCCTATGTTGAAATTTGACGGCACCCCTGGGGAAGCCATATGGCACCCAAGGGTGCGGCAGCATCCTAGCTGAGGAAGACTGGTCTAATATTCCTTTGTATGCTGCAGCATTAACAGTACCCTTTACTGGAAACACCTGAAATCAATGCTTAAGGGGGGGCACATACTTATGACTATATATCGCAGTCATGTACAGGATTTGGAAAGAGACATCTGGGCACAGGACTCAGAAAAATGTCTGCAAGGGATGAGAAGAGACAACGGTATACTGTATAGGATACAGAAGATGATTGCATGTAGGATTCAGAATGAGACAATGGATCAGTGGTCAGGCTCGCAGGTATTGTATTTTCTCCCTCGTCCCAGCTGACATTGCATTGTTCCTCATTAAATATACATCTAAAAAAACGGAAAGGTCAGATGAGCGGCAGTGCGCTGTCTTGCAATCATCTGTATTCCTTCCTTGTAATAACAGTGATAAGTCATTAGAATTATGTTGCCACTTGGAGCGTTATTAACGCCGTCAATGATTCGTATTGCACTTCATTATGCAAGCCGCTCAGACACCGCCGACTGACGGTCCAGGCTCCGCGGTCATTAAATGCATGGCAGTCGTCATATGTCACCCTAATGCACCAGATATATATTCTTCCGATAATTCCTTCCAATCCGTGGGCCTTACAGCCGCCCCGTCTCTTCATCTATCCTTGTCTTGTAAGATATGCACACGCATCTTCTGTACTGCGATTTAAAGTGGCAGCGCCCTGCGCCTACGAATGAGCACCCTCCGCGTAAATGTACAGTTACATCCCTATTTATTTAATTATTTATATAGTGCTGACACATAATACCAGAGTGATGTACAGAGAACATGTTACTATTCACATCAGTCTGTGCACCAGAGGAGCTTACGTTCTAATGCCCACCACAGTAACACATGCTGTTATTATACATTTATATACATATGACATATACCACAGCGCTGTACAGAGGACACTGAGCCAGTCACATCAGTCGCTGCACCAGAGGAGCTTACACTCTAATGTCCCCCCACAGTCACATCAGTCTCTGTACAGAGGAGCTTGTGCTCTAATGCCCCCCCCCCACAGTCACACACCATCATTACACATTTATTTATAACTGAGAACACTGAGCCAGTCTTATCAGTCTCTGCACCAGAGGAGCTTACACTCCAACGTGTTGTCCCCCCCACAGTCACACACTATTATACATTTATATAGCTCTGACATATAGCAAAGTGCTGTACAGAGAACACTGAGCCATTCACATCAGTCTCTGCACCAGAGGAGCTTACACTCTAATGTCCCCCCACAGTCACATCAGTCTCTGTACAGAGGAGCTTACACTCTAATGTCCCCTCCCCCCACAGTCACATCAGTCTCTGCACCAGAGGAGCTTACGCTCGAATGTCCCCCCACAGTCACATCAGTCTCTGCACCAGAGGAGCTTACGCTCTAATGTCCCCCCCACAGTCACACACTATTATTATACCTTTATATATCTCTGACATTTACCACAGTTCTGTACATCAGACAGACACTGAACCATTCACATCAGTCTCTGCACCAGAGGAGCTTACACTCTAATGGTCAGGGCACATGAGGTGTCTTGGATTGATAAATAGTAGGGAGGAAGAGAAAAGTTCATGAGAAGAGCTACAAAAGTTCCAGATGGATGTGTATCTGGAGATGGAGAGAAGATATAAGGAGGCACCAGACTGTGCAGGACTTGAGAGTTTAGAATTTGGTTTTCGGATGGATTCCTGTGGGTGGCAAGCAGCTGGTACAGATAAGAGAAGAACTGGAGGGACTGGAGGGGAGGACTATGAGCTGATTGGCAGCATTCAGGATACTGGAGATGGTGGTGGTGGTGGTGGGAACGGGGGGCGGGGGGATGCTATGTAGTGGAGGTCAGCACAGCATAATGTTAATGTAGCCAAGGTGGGAAATGATTACAGCCTATGCCAGAACCTTAGGTGTATCTTGTAGGTCTGAAGGAAAAGCCAAATATTTTGTTGGCTGTTATCCTTGTGTCACATTCTGTATGATGTTCAATAAAATATTTTACTGTGCACCTTCTGAATGCAACATTGTTTGAGTCAGAAGCAATTATCATTCAAAATCGAGCAGTTTAAGGTGCATATGTCTGGCATCAGGTCTCACTGTATATAATTTTCTTGAGAAAATATGTTTTTATGAATCTTACAAAGTTTCTTACCTGCAGACCCTGCCAGTAGCAGCACTTCCTGTTGGTGGCTGCCAACGCTGAGCCGCTGCCTGTCAATTAGCAGCGGTGTTGTCAACTTACCGTACAAGCTCCCTTATTTATCCCTGTGGCTCTCTACCTTAAAAGCAGCCCAGTGGCTAAATGAAGAAGGGCACATGGCAGGCTGACAACACTGCTGCTAAGTGCAGTGCCTTAGTGTTGTCAGCCTGCAACAAGAAGTGCTGTTACTGGCAGGATCTCCAGGGAAGAAACTTTGTAACAGAGTCATAAACATATTTGTTTAAGAAGCGAGGGAAGATACAAAACATTCAGGACAGTAGATTTAGGGTTAATATGCTCTTTGAACTATTGCCTTAGTAAGTTTATCAGGCATCAAATATTCCATCTTTCCCACAGATCTCGATTCATTCCAGACCAGGACCAGGAGCACGGTGTCTGTGCGCGAGGGTCAGGGCATGGTGCTGCTGTGCGGTCCACCCCCTCATTCTGGAGGTACGTCACCAATTTCATTGGTAGTCATTGTTTCAGATTAATTATTGCAGAGCAGCTTTGGATGCTCGGGGGGGGGGGGGGGATGGCGGGGGGGGTCGGCA